ATAATTATTGAAAAAGTAATATTTCAGTTATATGTCATATAAGATATAGTAAGGAATAAACGAGTTTTAGAAATACATATGCTTTATATTTATATTTAATTTAAGTATATGATTGCCTATCTTGTTTCCTTGGAGCCACGGGTGGATTCAGACCTCCAGAGAAGTATGATTTTTTAATTGACAGTTTAACTTCTTATGGACTATGTTACCAGAGCTCCCTTTAATTTAAATAGTCCATATAAAAACAGTTGACAAAAAGATATATATATATATGTATATATATATATGGTGCTTGATGATTTTGTTTTTGTTTTGATTTTGTTAGTAGCTTAGTGTTGAAGAGTTTTACTGCTAACCCAAAGGTACATAGTTCAAATCTTCACAGTTACTTCTCAGGAGAAAGACAGGCAGTCTCATTCTGTGTGATTTACTGGCTTTGAAAACTCACTGGAGGGTCAAATTATGAGCTGATTCCAACTCGACTATAGCACAATATCAAGTTACTTCTTATGTAACTTCTATACTGTAGTTTTTGCTAGGTGCTATTCATCCAGCTCCAATTTATAGCAAACCTATGTGGTAAGAAGCTTTGCTACAAACCCAGAGGAATGCAGTTCAAATCCACCTTCTGCTCTGCATGCTAGAGATGGGCATTCTCCTCTTGTGCAATTAACTACCTTGAAAACCTGCTCGAGGGTCAGTTATGAGTCGGTTCCAACTCAATGGTACACAACAATAACAACATGTATAACAAAATCCTGCCCAGTTCAGCACCATCTTCGCATCTCCAATCTCCCATGTTCTTTATGCCTTTGTTTCAGTTACTATGTTATTCCATCTCGTTGAAGATCTTCTCTTTCATTGACCCTCGACTTTTCCAAGAATGATATCCTTTGCCAAGCCCACCTTCATCCTGTAGCCAAAGCATATGGGACAAGTCTCACCATTCTTGCTTCTAAAGAACATTCTGAAAAAAAAAAATTAAAAAAAAAGAATATTCTGGCTACTTTTCTTCCAAGACAGATTTATTTGTTTTTTGTTAGCCACTAGTATATTCAGCATTTTTCATTAGCACCTTAGTTGAAAAGCATCAATTCTTGGTTCTTCCTAATTCATATGCCAATGAGACAATTGAATATACTCTGGCATCAGACACCCTTTAAACTTCAAAGTGACATCTTTACTTTTTAACATTTAAAGACACTTCCAGCGGATTTGCCCATTGACATACACCTTTTGATTTCTAGACTATTGCTTTCATGGATGTTCATTGTGGGTGTAAGTAAAATTAAATATTTGATAGCGTCTGTCTTTACTTAGTAGGAAGTTATTGATTTATTTTTCCTCTTTATTCAGGATTATTCTATACTGGAGCCATATTAGTTAAGCTTTATTATTTTCTGCAAGCAAACTTGGGTCATCTATATATCACAGGTTGTTAATGAGTTTTCCTCTAGTCTTGAGTTCTGTTTTTCTTCGCATAGTTCAGCTTTTTGGATTATTTGCCTGCCATACAGATTTAACATATACAGTGAAAGCATATAACCCTGACATTTACCTTCCAGATTTTAAATCATGCAATATGCCCTTTTTCTATTCAAATCATTGCTTCTTGATCTATGCACAGGTTTCACATGAGCACAGTAAGGTGTTCTGGAATTCCTATTCTCCTCCATGTTATGTATGGTTTATTATGATCCAAATAGTCAAATGCTATTTCACAGTTAATAAAACATCATTCTAGTATTCTCTTCCTTTTTATTATTATTATTAATGTTTTCAATGCAACATTTATATTTTTACAGCATATTCTTTCCATTTTCCCCCCATTCATTCATTGCTGCACATTTTCCTTACTTCTCACCCCTCCCCCAGTTCGTTTTTTTTCCTTTGAAGACGAAAAAAAATGCTTTCATTGTTATATAATTGCCCCCAGTCCACAGTCCACTTTACATGCCTTTATTTTTCTATAGTCTTGTCATGAAAATAGTACCTAATTCCATATTCCTTCTTTCAGCCAAGATCATCTGACATCAACAATGCTACCCCTTGTTTCCCATTCTTTTCTGAATCCAGAAATTAGAAATTAGATTTATAATTCCCTATTGATAATTTCCTCTAGCCATTTGAAAATATTCTTCAGCAAGATTTTACATTTGTGTGATATTAATAATGTTCTTCTGTGTTGTTGAATTAGAAGTGACTTATGGCTAACCTTCCAGTGGGTTTTCAGTGGCATTAAATAGGAAAGGAGGAAATCACCAAACTTTCTCCCACAGAGCATCTTTGTATTTGAATCACATGCCTTTCGGTTGACAGCATAACTCCTTAGCACTTAGCCACTAGAGCTCCTTGATATTAATGATTTCTTTGTTTTGTTGGATCAAATTCTTTTTTAAAGGGTCTCAATACGGATCTCTTCCAGCCAGTTGGCCAGGTAGCCATCTTCCAAATTTCTTGGATTAGACCAGTGAGCATGCCCAGGGTTGTGTCTAGTTATTAAAACATCTTAACTGTAGTATGCCAATTTCTGGAGCCGAGCTTTTCACTAAAGCCTTTTTCAAGTCAGCTTGAATTTCTTTTTTTCAGTATCATTGGTTGTGGATCAAATGCTACCTTTTAAAATGCTTGGGCATCAAACAAATGTTTTTGGTACAGTGGTCCTGAGTATTCCTTCCATCTTATTTTACTATTTCCTGCATCATTCAATATTTTGCCAGTAGAATCCTTAAGTATTGCAACTTGGAACTTCATTTTTTTTTCTTCATACACAATGTGGATTTTCTTCTAAATGCATGTATATACACATAGATAGATATGTTCATGTACACACATGCTCATATATTCTCGTAGACACAAGAATGAGGCATTAGGCTGAAATTAATGGAACTGTTGTTGAAAGCACATAGCCCAAATAATAATTCTGCCATGATAACACAGAAATTTATGCCAAGTCTTTTTTGCAAAGCAAAAAAAAAAAAATCTTTAGTAATGTCTGAGTTCTTCCCACGCATTAATAACTACTTTGACATTAATGCAGATATAAAAATTCATGTATTTTAAAAGCTTGGTACAGACCTTGATCCATATCTATTTTAGTTCTATTTTTTCCCCTCTTTCTTTCTTGGTTTCTATTTTTGGGTTGATTATTTTCCTCTTATTATTTTTCTAATCATAGATGTTTCAGGGTAACTTATGAAAAATGATGGGTATTTATTTTATGGTGCCTTATAGAGAATGAATATCCAATAAATGTTTCAGTTAACTCAAATTTATGACTAAGAATGCTAGTTTTTATCTGTAATATCACTGCCACAGGTATAATTATATTAGCTATAAATATGAGAAAGAATTCTAGGAGATATGCATATATTCTTTAATCTATTTACTTTAACAGAATTAGCAATTTAAAAAATTTTTAAGAGTATCTTACAAAATTATCCTGATTTTTTTTTTCCATTTTAAGGTTTGTCAGTTATCAGATGAACAAGCCCTTCACCTTGTGAAAATGATACGAAATTTCAGCATTTTATTTTACAGGGTAAGGATAAAGATTTTCAACCATGTAAATGTTAATGGTTTCCTTTTTGATGACAGCAAAATGTCAAAGCTATTCATAGCCATCTAGTGGTAAGAATATAGAGGTACATTGAAGGACAGGCACCTTAGGGGGATAAAAAAATTCAAAACTGATTGTCAAATAGGAACCAACTCATAGCTGACCCTCTATTGGCTTTCATAAAGCACAAGAGAAGATTCCTCATTTTTATCCTGTGGAGGCACTGGTAGATTTGAACCTTGAGATAGGCACAGCCTTTTGGATGGCAGTCCAACTCCCTAGGCACTATTTTATCAGAGCTCCATTCTTTATGAAGATAACACCTTGAAATTCATGAAATTATAGGTCAGACTACCTTGTCTAATAATAGTTAAATGAAATTATACTCTACTAAGTTGGGAAGCAACTGTCTTAGCATTTTACTTAGCTTCTTGCCCTGTGCTTGTACATGTAAAATATAGAAAAGCCTTTTGAGATAGACTCTATACTTTGTGATAGAAATAGATTAAATTGTGAATCCAGGCTTTGCCACTTATTATTTCTACTGTATTGGTTATTTGTATAATTTTATTTTTCTAATTTCTGCATATATAAAATGAGATACTGTTTCTCTTTCTACCACAAAACTGTTCTGAGAATGAAGTAAGTGCTTAATAAAGCATGAATGATGAAGTTTATATAAATGCATTTATGGATTCCTGGAATCGTATCACTGTTAGTGGAAACATTAGCTGTCCCAAACCACCTGCCTTTGCAGGAGAAAGATGGACAGTCTTCTCTCATAAAGACTGATAATCATGGAAACTCTATATAGTGTCACTGTGAGTCAAAACTGTGTATCTTCATATATGAAGCCAATACATACTTTTTTTTTCACTTAAAAAAAGTATCATAAATGTTTGGTGGTTTTCTCCACAGTCTATAGTTTATAGTGAACATATTTAGTTTTATTATGTTCAAAAAGCGGGTATTATTGAATTATTTAATTGTCTTAAGTGTTAATGGAAACCTTGAAGCTCGGTTATATATCTGCCTGAAGGAACTGTAGCTGTTTTTAAATTTCTATCTGTTCATTTGTTCTCCTAGAGAAAGATGATTATCTAAAACTACCCATTTATTGCTCAGATTAAGTCAGACATTTCAATACTTTGCTTAAATTAATATTGGTTATTTGTGTAATTTTCAGCTTATTCATGGTGAGCCATATTTCTCTAAGACTTTTATATTGCTTATGTAAACCCAAAAATATTATCTTTGTAAGAGCTTTATATGTAGGTGAGTGGAATAAAGACTTTGACAGAAAATACTAAAATGTCTTTTGAAAGTGTACTTACGTCAAAATAGAACCTGTTTTCTCCTAGACTAGCATTTGGTTTTTTATTTTCTGTTCTAGTGAATCTGTACAATTTTAAAAGACAAATTGTGCTGTCAGGTCAATAAAGGAGATTGTCTTGTTAAATTTTGCCTCTAGAAAGAATTTTTTTCTTTTCTGTTGAAACTGACTGTATAGCTTAAGTATTCAAAAAATTACTAGATTTAAGTCTAATATTGTGTTGTTGTTGTTGTTATGTGCCGTCGAGTCGTTTCCGACTCCTAGCGACCCTATGCACAACAGCCCTAAACCCTGCTCTATCCTGCGCCAACCGCACCGCCTCTGACAC